GGTAGAAAGTGGCTTTAGCAGCAGAAACATATCATGTTTAATCAATTGAATTTACCACAGGTGGACGCCAATCAAGTTGTAGAAACATCTCAAGGATAATCAAAGGAAACATGATGCACCTGAACTAAATTTCTAGTCTCATAGCAAAGGGTCTGAATAATAATGTAAATAAGGTATTTCTGGTTTTGATTATTTATTTATTTATTTTATTCCATTTTAGAATAAGGCTGTAATGTAACAATGTGGAAAAAGTCAAGGGGTCTTAAATATTTCTGTATTTAACTGCAAATGTAATTTGTATAAGCACTACGTCTTCAGGCACAACCTTTTATCCGCAACAGGTCAATTTGATGGAATCATACCTGTGGTGGGAAAATACGCCTATTTTTAAAATGCGGATTTTAGATTATTCACATGAAAATCTGTGGACAATTGAATGGAAACCTAGCTAGTGACTAGGGCGGTTACGGTGACCATATTACCGCCACACCGGTGGTCACGAGTCATGATGGCTGTCAAATTCTACATTACCGTTTAGTCACGGTAATTAGGCTTCTCCAAGCTCTGATGCTGCTGATGGTCATTAGTAGCCTACTAAACTTGCTAACTGCCTGGTACTCAGCACTCTATTGTCCCTCTAATCACTCTGACATCAATGCAAATGTAATCGAAAATCTAATCAAACACTTAATTAGAGCCCATGAGCTCATATTGCGCCACATTTCTATAGGCTAAACAATTGCGTGAGAAACAGAGTGATGGACTCTATTAAAAAGAGGATGATCCCATCAACTTTCTATAGGCTAGGCCTACTATATTTATTTCTGAACTTTCCTAATATTAAGCACATTGCTTCTCTTTACAACAGGAGTATAGCCCACCTGTCTGGCATGAAAATGAACCACGGGAAAAGTGTCCTCCATTCGCTATTTAAGTGCATAGATGACATGTATTTTTTCCCGCTGCCTCTGTTTTGAGACAGGTGCATTATAATGGTACATTCTAAATCAAAACAAATTTCACACATATATTATTTAATATATGTAAAGACCAGATTAAATCAAGAATAGTGTGATGGGTGACAATATTAGCCTTTAACTTATGAATGATATATTATCACTTGTGAATGTTACCCAGCTTAAGGCAAACAGCGCATGCTTTTTTTTGCGACTTTTTCAAATCATAGTTGCACACCATGTAGCCTAGCTCATAGGCCTACAGTGGCTTGCGAAAGTATTCACCCCCCTTGGCATATTTCCTATTTTGTTGCCTTAAAACCTGGAATTAAAATGGAGTTTTTGGGGGTTTGTATCATTTGATTTACACAACATGCCTACCACTTTGAAGATGCAAAATATTTTTTGTGTGTGAAACAAACAAGAAATAAGACAAAAAAACATTAAACTTGAGCGTGCATAACTATTCACCCCCCCCCCCCCTCAAGGCAAAACTGCTCCAGCTCCTTCAAGTTGAATGGGTTCCGCTGGTGTACAGCAATCTTTAAGTCATACCACAGATTCTCAATTGGATTGAGGTCTGGGCTTTGACAAGGCCATTCCAAGACATTTCAATGTTTCCCCTTAAACCACTTGAGTGTTGCTTTAGCAGTATGCTTAAGGCCATTGTCCTGCTGGAAGGTGAACCGCCGTCCCAGTCTCAAATCTCTGGAAGACTGAAACAGGTTTCCCTCAAGAATTTCCCTGTATTTAGCGCCATCCATCATTCCTTCAATTCTGACCAGTTTCCCAGTCCCTGCCGATGAAAAACATCCCCACAGCATGATGCTGCCACCACCATGCTTTACTGTGGGTTTGGTGTTCTCGGGGTGACGAGAGGTGCTGGGTTTGCACCAGACAGAGCGTTTTCCTTGATGGCCAAAAAGCTCAATTTGAGTCTCATCTGACCAGAGTACCTTCTTCCATATCTTTGGGGAGTCTCCCACATGGCTTTTGGCGAACACCAACCGTGTTTGCTTATTTTCTTCTTTAAGCAATGGCTTTTTTCTGGCCACTCTTCCGTAAAGCCCAGCTCTGTGGAGTGTACGGCTTAAAGTGATCCTATGGACAGATAATCCAATCTCCGCTGTGGAGCTTTGCAGCTCCTTCAGGGTTATCGTTGGTCTCTTTGTTGCCTCTCTGATTAATGCCCTCCTTGCCTGGTCCGTGAGTTTTGGTGGGCGGCCCTCTCTTGGCAGGTTTGTTGTGGTGCCGTATTCTTTCCATTTTTTAATAATGGATTTAATGGTGCTCCGTGGGATGTTAAAAGTTTCTGATATTTTTTTATAATCCAATCCTGATCTGTACATCTCCACAACTTTGTCCCTGACATGTCTGGAGAGCTCCTTGGTCTTCATGGTGCCGCTTGCTTGGTGGTGCCCCTTGCTTAGTGGTGTTGCAGACTCTGGGGCCTTTCAGAACAGGTGTGTGTGTATATATACTGAGATCATGTGACACACAGGTGGACTTTATTTAACTAATTATGTGACTTCTGAAGGTAATTGGTTGCACAAGATCTTATTTAGGGGCTTCAGAGCAAAGGGGGTGAATACATATGCATGCCCCACTTTTCCGTTATTAATTTTTTAGAAACAAGTGATTTTTTTCATTTCATTTCACTTCACCAATTTGGACTATTTTTGTATGTCCATTACATGAAATCAAAATAAAAATCAATTTAAATTACAGGTTGTAATGCAACAAAATAGGAAAAATGCCAAGAGGGATGAATACTTTTGCAAGGCACTGTATATGTTTTGATAAGGTTTGTATCACAACTAAAGTGGCGAAATAACTCCTTAAAATTAAGCACATGAATCCGCTTTACGATGGGTTTAGAGCCTAACTGGCATACATACGCAGTGTGTGAGTTTCAAGTTTGGGGAAGATAATTCTCACCATAAAAATGCATCTTTATAATAAAGGCATTACATGCATAATCGCATTTGCGGTCACTTTTGAGAATGGTGTTTTCCTGGTAAACGTTCTGATTTGTTGCGTCAGCCTCATTGCTTAAAAATGTTTTTGGGATGCTAGTGGTTGTATTAATTTGGGATCTATCGCATCCCACAGCTGTCCCAGACTATGTTTGGAATATTTATTTCTCGCACAGAATAGAATTGGTCAACTTTTGTACTATGGAGGATAGTAGATTGATATAGGCATATGTCTATATGATATGTCTATCTACTATCCCCGATAGTACAAAAGTTGATAAGCTAGTGCTTTTGCTGTTTGTTAGGCCAGCTCATCTTGTTGGTTTATGAAAAGTAAACGTAGACTGTTCTTCCAATATCTTAAATATGAGCCTCGGAATTGGATAAGGACGTGCGCAGTTGCATCCCCTATGTCGGTCTTCACTTGTAGCCTGTGAGAATGACCAAATGACGTGACTGCATTGGCTAATACAAATGTAGCTATCTGAGAGAGCCATGTGAGTGAGAGGTGCTTCGGAGCACGCAGCCGGGAGAAGAGAAATACAATTATCATATTCAGCCCAAGGGCACAACAGCCACTGGCTGCAAAAGGCATGGCTTTTTTTAGGGGGCATTACGAACACACAAAGGGGATACCGCCGGGAAATTTGAGACATTATCAAGTGCTTGTCAAATTGTGAATGAGAGACTGATAAAGTGTGTGCAGCCTGCGCAAATAACAAAGCAGAGCTCATGTCTTTCATGTTACTTTTTTCAAATCATAACATAAAGCCCAACGTTTGTATCACAACTAAAGTTACATAAATAACTCTAAATTAAGCATATTGGAGGACCTGTTTCTTTGCTCAACACAGAATAGCCAGCCGCATGTGGGCACTCCCTCAAATCATTTTGGAGAAAATATCCTTTCTATTTTATTCAGCTTTGTTCAATTGTATTTTTATTTTTATTTTACCTTTATTGAACTAGGCAAGTCAGTTAAGAACAAATTCTTATTTACAATGACTGCCTACACTGGCCAAACCTGGACGACGCTGGGCCAATTGTGCAATCCCAATCACGGCCGGTTGTGATACAGCCTGGAATCGAACCAGGGGGTCTGTAGTGATGCCTCAAGCACTGAGATGCAGTGCCTTAGACCACTGCGCCACTCGGGAGTATTCTTCATACTAGAAAATAATGCCACGGAATTCTAAGCAAATCTTGTCTGCTAACTAGAGTAGCCCACAGCCATATGGCATAGCCAGATCAGGGCCTAACATAAGGACAGCTCAGAGTATGCTATTCTGTTCTTCTGAAATAGACTACATTTTCTTCATATCATGTTTCTTTAGACCTGTCTAAAATAAGTAATGCATTTATTGTGATGGTGTAGGCTATATTACATGGATTTATTAGACTTTTTTAAATGTAGATCTTCCAAAGGTCTGCATCAGTGGCTTATAGGCTAAGCGTGGAATGTAGGAGATGCTAAATGGGTTTATGTTAATTAACGGTCAATTACCGTGAGACTGGCAGTTATTTGCATGCATAAAGTGAAAGAACCTCTGCTCCTACTGAAGTAGACCACATGGTGCCTCGCAGCCTGTGTGCTCTGAGCCATGCTTGCACCACTGATTTTCCACCGTACCGGTCCTCACTGCCCAAAGTAGTCATTGCTCTGGGGGCTACTCAATTGCAAGTTCCTTTCGAGGGTGACCAGCTGGGTCAAACATATGGTCCAATTAGTGAGCTGAATATGAATCTCAGACAGACACACTAATACCAGACAGACAGAGATCAATGGAAGAGCTTCCCGCACATGGTCCCTCTCTCCCATCTGTTTGTTCTGCTTATAGGTCCCTCTTAAAAATGCTCTGATGTTAATGACCTCTTCATTTCACATGATCTCTGACGTGTTTTCCTCCCCTTGTACCACTATATCCATTGCTTTGAAAGAGTGTTCCACAAATGATTCTGTATAACATTGAAAATGATCTAGGTCCAACCAGGCATATTTTCCCTCATAATCTTTGGTCTCCTGACCACAGCCCTGGATTTAATGTAACTTCTATGTCCTCTCCCTCAGGACCGTAAGCTGACCAAAGTAGAGCGTCAGCGGTTTAAGGAGGAGGCAGAGATGCTGAAGGGGCTGCAGCACCCCAACATCGTCCGCTTCTACGACTTCTGGGAGTCACCCCTCAAAGGGAAGAAGTGCATCGTCCTGGTAACGGAGCTCATGACCTCAGGCACGCTCAAAACGTGAGTGTGCTGTCAGACCTGCTGGAGATGGGAGATGATGATAGTCAAAAGAACTGGGCAATGCGGGATCTAGTCATAAATGCAAAGCAAACCGTTTTATATGCTTTCCCCCAACAAACCAGTTAACATGTGTGCTGGAGTATTATTTATCATTGGGATTACTAAGCAATGTAGTACTGCAAAAAGAGGCAATGGGGTGATACGCAAATTAGCTCCACATTACCTCTTATTTTTTAGTGGTGATACTGATGTCCTTTTCCCTCCTGTAGGTATCTGAAGCGCTTCAAGGTAATGAAGCCCAAGGTTCTGAGGAGCTGGTGTAGACAGATCCTGAAGGGCCTTCACTTCCTCCACACCAGGGCCCCTCCCATCATCCACAGGGACCTCAAGTGTGACAACATCTTCATCACGGGCCCCACCGGCTCCGTCAAGATAGGAGACCTGGGGTTGGCCACGCTCAAGAGGGCCTCTTTCGCCAAGAGTGTCATAGGTAGGAGATCCAATCAGACTGCATCAGTAACACCTGGTGTATCATCTATATCTTTCTTAAACTGTCTCCAGATTCCAAAAATGTCCTGCTGTCTAACCTTTGACCCGTGTCCTCCCAGGCACCCCAGAGTTCATGGCCCCAGAGATGTATGAGGAGCATTATGATGAGTCAGTGGATGTCTATGCCTTTGGGATGTGCATGTTGGAGATGGCTACCTCAGAGTACCCGTACTCGGAGTGCCAGAACGCTGCACAGATCTACCGCAAAGTCACCAGCGTGAGTCCACATTTAATATGTTAACCAATTCAGCTCGTATAGAGGTAACACTCACAACTAGGATAAACACCAAAATTACTAATTTAGTCATTCATGTTAGCACTTTGATTTCTATGAATGGCAGGCACAGATCTCGAAGTAACAGGGGTATTCAGCATTAACGATTTAAAGGCCAGAATTATTAGATCATTTGTTTTGGTATGTAGCTTGTTTTTGGTCGCAGTGTCAGGAATGTCTGAAGAATTGCAACATTTACCTTGAGTTAACTCTGCAAATAGCACAGCTGGGTGATTTGAAAAGTCATAGTCAATCGATCAATAATATAATACTCTTGGCAAAAAATGTTTTCTTTAATTTACAATCTGTAGAAACTATTAGAATAGAAAGGTTCAGAACTTTTGTGAAACATCACAGCATCGTTGAAAATTGGCAAACTGGAGGATCTTCAGAGATAGATGTGAGGGGTTGAGGGTAGCTGAAGGATGGGACTAAAAACAAACAAAAGATAACCAATGTAAAATATACTGTGTCCGTAAAATGTATATAGTATGTATAAGCTGGAAGTAGAAGCCTAAGTGTTGTCGTCCATTAGTTTACTCCAATTAGGGGAGGGGTGGTAGGGTTAGGGGAAAATAAAAAACTATGTATGGGGGATTGGAAATTAAGCAGACAATTACATTAATAGAAGCCACAATCTATTTGCAATATTAAAGCTGATCCACCCCCTAAAAAATAAATAAAAACAAACAACAATTTAAAGGCCTACTGTTCAACTTAGTGCAGCCATCCATTGGTGTGTGAGAATGTGTGTGTCTGTATATATACAGTACAGTATCTCACAAAAGTGAGGTACACCCCTCACATTTTTGTAAATATTTGAGTATATCTTTTCATGTGACAACACTGAAGAAATGACACTTTGCTACAATGTAAAGTAGTGAGTGTACAGCTTGTATAACAGTGTACATTTGCTGTCCCCTCAAAATATCACAACACACAGCCATTAATGTCTAAACTGCTGGTACACCCCTAAGTGAAAATGTCCAAATTGGGCCCAAAGTGTCAATATTTTGTGTGGCCACCAACATTTTCCAGCACTGCCTTAACCCTTTTGGGCATGGAGTTCACCAGAGCTTCACAGGTTGCCACTGGAGTCCTCTTCCACTCCTCCATGACAACATTACGGAGCTGGTGGATGTTAGAGACCTTGCACTCCTCCACCTTCCGTTTGAGGATGCCCCACAGATGCTCAATAGGGTTTAGGTCTGGAGACATGCTTGGCCAGTCCATCACCTTTACCCTCAGCTTCTTTAGCAAGGCAGTGGTCGTCTTGGAGGTGTGTTTGGGGTCATTATCATGTTGGAATACTGCCCTGCGGCCCAGTCTCCGAAGGGAGGGGATCATGCTCTGCTTCAGTATGTCACAGTACATGTTGGCATTCATGGTTCCCTCAATGAACTGTAGCTCCCCAGTGCCGGCAGCACTCATGCAGCCCCAGACCATGACACTCCCACCACCATGCATGACTGTAGGCAAGACACACTTGTCTTTGTACTCCTCACCTGGTTGCGCCACACACGCTTGACACCATCTGAACCAAATCCAGTAATCCATGTCCTTAGTCTGCTTGTCTTCAGCAAACTGTTTGCGGGCTTTCTTGTGCATCATCTTTAGAAGAGGCTTCCTTCTGGGACGACAGCCATGCAGACCAATTTTATGCAGTGTGCGGCGTATGGTCTGGGCACTGACAGGCGGACCCCCCACCCCTTCAATCTCTGTAGCAATGCTGGCAACACTCATACGTCTATTTCCCAAAGACAACCTCTGGATATGACGCTGAGCACGTGCACTCAACTTCTTTGGTCGACCATGGCGAGGCCTGTTCTGAGTGGAACCGGTCCTGTTAAACCACTGCATGGTCTTGGCCACCGTGCTGCAGCTCAGTTTCAGGGTCTTGGCAATCTTCTTATAGCCCAGGCCATCTTTATGTAGAGCAACAATTCTTTTTTTCAGATCCTCAGAGAGTTTTTTGCCATGAGGTGCCATGTTGAACTTCCAGTGACCAGTATGAGGGAGTGTGAGAGCGATGACACCAAATTTAACACACCTAGTCCCCATTCACACCTGAGACCTTGTAACACTAATGAGTCACATGACACCGGGGAGGAAAAATGGCTAATTGGGCCCAATTTGGACATTTTCACTTAGGGGTGTACTCACTTTTGTTGCCAGCGGTTTAGACATTAATGGCTGTGTGTTGAGTTCTTTTGAGGGGACAGCAAATGTACACTGTTATACAAGCTGTACCCTCACTACATTACATTGTAGCAAAGTGTCATTTCTTCAGTGTTGTCACATGAAAAGATATACTCAAATGTTTACAAAAATGTGAGGGGTGTACTCACTTTTCTATAGGATTGAGGTCAGGGCTTTGTGATGGCCACTCCAATACCTTGACTTTGTTGTCCTTAAGCCATTTTGCCACAACTTTGGAAGTATGCTTGGGGTCATTGTCCATTTGGAAGACCCATTAGCGACAAAGCTTTAACTTCCTGACTGATGTCTTGAAATGTTGCTTCAATATATCCACATAATTTTCCTTCCTCATGATGCAATCTCTTTTGTGAAGTGCACCAGTCCTTCCTGCAGCAAAGCACCCACACAAGGTTTCCTCCAGACGTGACACTTGGCATTCAGGCCAAAGAGTTCAATCTTGGTTTCATCAGACCAGAGAATCTTGTTTCTCATGGTCTGAGAGTCCTTTAGGTGCCTTTTTAGCAAACTCCAAGTGGGCTGTCATGTGCCTTTTACTGAGAAGTGGCTTCCGTCTGGCTTCCATTCTACCATAAAGGCCTGATTGGTGGAGTGCTGCAGAGATGGTTGTCCTTCTGCAAGGTTATCCCATCTCCACAGAGGAACTCTAGAGCTTTGTCAGAGTGACCATCGGGTTCTTGGTCACCTCCCTGACCAAGGCCCTTTCTCCCCCTATTGCTCAGTTTGGCCGGGCGGCCAGCTCTAGGAAGAGTCTTGGTGGTTCCAAACTTCTTCCATTTAAGAAGGATGGAGAACACTGTGTTCTTGGGGACCTTCAATGCTGCGGAAATGTTTTTGTACCCTTCCCCAGATCTGTGCCTCTACAAAGTGCTGAGGAAAGGGTCTGAATACTTTATGTAAATGTGATATTTCAGTTTTATATTTTTAATACATTTGCAAAAATGACAAAAAACCTGATTTTGCGTTGTCCTTATGGGGTATTGTGTGTAGATGCGGAAAAAGTGAAGGGGTCTGAATACTTTCCGAATGCACTGAACAACAATATAAACGCAACATGCAACATTTTCAAAGGTTTTACTGAGTTACAGTTCATATAAGGAAATCAGTTAATTGAAATAAATTCATTAGGCTCTAATCTATGGATTTCACATGACTGGGCGGGGCTGCAGCCACGGGTGGGCCTTGGAGGGCATAGGCCCACCCACCTGGCATCCAGGCCCACCCACTGGGGAGTTTATTACAGACAGAAATACTCCTCAGCACCACCCCTCAGATGATCCCACAGGTGAAGAAGCCAGATGTGGTGGTCCTGGGCTGGCGTGGTTACACGTGGTCTGCGGTTGTGAGGCCGGTTGGACGTACTGCCAAATTCTCTAAAACAAAGTTGGAGGCAGCTTATGGTAGAGAAATGAACATTCAATTCTGTGGCAACAGCTCTGTTGGACATTCCTGCAGTCAGCATGCCAACTGCATCTGTGGCATTGTGTTGTGTGACAAAACTCCACATTTTAGAGTGGCCTTTTATTGTGCGCCTGTGTAATGATCATGCTGTTTAATCAGTTCCTTGAAATGCCACACCTGTCAGGTGGATGGATTATCTTGGTAAATGAGAAATGCTCACTAACAGGGATGTAAACACATTTGTGAACAGAATTTGAGAGAAATAAGCTTTTCATGCGTATGGAACATTTCTGGGATTTTTTTATTTCAGCTTGTGAAACATGGGACCAACACTTTACATATTGTGTTCATATTTTTGTTCAGTATACATACATACATACATACATACATACATACATACATACATACATACATACATACATACATACATACATACATACATACATACATACATACATACATACAAACACCATGTGACTGTGTGCATGTATGTGTGCGTGTATGTGTTTTTCAATAATTCAGTGGAAGCTAGGTTTAGTGAATCTATAAGACTGAGGGCATCACAAAGTCATAAGAGTTCATGTTATGTTATGTTTTAATTATATTTAAACTTTAAGTGACCATATGACCTTTAGATTGAATGCAGTAAACCCAGTCTAATGGGTTATTATGAAAGGGTATTGTTTGAGGATAGCAATTGTATGCTATGAAAAATGAGTTTTTCTCCAATTATCAGTGAGGTTTTCATGGTACACTATTCCTCAATGGAAATGCCCAATGGAGGGTAAGGAGATGCAAGGTCTTTCCATGGTAGGGGTTATGTTACCAGAGCCCCATGGGTCTTGATACTTGAATAATTCCCTAGTTTACTGGACAGTGAAGATGGTCATGACGTGCCATATGGCACTGCTCAGGGAGTCCTGAACCCCCCAGTTCTTCACAGATCTAGCCTTGACTGTGTATTCCACTCCATGCCAGTGAGGAAGAGGGCATCACAGTGAAGTATGCGGCAAACTGTTTTTAGATCAGGGGGTGTCCGGAGTCATGATATATTTGATGAAGGGTATTGATTTTGCACTCTTAAAACTTGTCAGGCACTGCTGGAGTGGGGTGACTCACCTTAGCCTGGTCTCAGATCTGTACTTTAGCTAACTCTGCTGACTATCATTGTCAATGATAATCAGAGGACTTGGCGCTAAAGCACATGCATATATCTGCATGATATGGTAAGGATAGTCAGAGGTGTTGGCTTTTGGCTAAAGCATATACATATCTGGGACCAGGCTATATTCACCTGCTTTTGAAACAACACTGCTGCATCCTCT